TTGCCAAAACAGAAGGACAGAACCTAGAAAATCCAACTTGATTCAGAAGTGCTGTGGGAGCTCTTCAATACCTAACACAAACCAGGCCAGATATTACTTTTGCAGTAAATAGAATCAGTCAGTTTCTTCAATGTCCAACTGATGCCCATTGGAATCTCTTAAAACGACTGTTCAAATACATCAAAGGGACACTCGAAATGGGGATAACAATTCAGGAAGCACAAGATCTTAACATTGTTGCTTATTGTGATGCAGACTGGGCCTCATGCCCAAGATGACAGAAAATCAACTGTAGGTTACTGTATACCTTGGTGGCAATCTAATCTCCTGGTGCTCTAAGAAGCAGCAAGTGGTAGCAAGGTCTAGTACTGAGGCAGAATATAGGACTCTAGCTCATACCAGTGCCGAAATCACCTGGATTCAATCATTGCTACAAGAACTTCGCATTCCTCAGATAGAAGTGCCCAGAATCTGGTGTGATAATCTAGGAGCAAGTGCTTTAGCATCCAACCCAGTGTACCATGCTAGAACCGAACACATTGAACTTGATGTGCACTTNATGCAGTTTGGACTTCATTAAAAAATGCAAAATGTTAGTGAAATGCTAAAATATTAGTGGTCTATGAAAACGTTGAGCATATAAATGATAAAACCTACCATTCTTTGCTTCAGACTTTGATTTTCCTCCTCCGGACATGAAACCTCGAGCTCATGCTGGTAAGTCTGCCCATCAAGAAATCAATATCCAGTAGGCCACAGAAAAAGGGAACACTTGAGCAAAACTAAGTATATGAAAGCTCACTTTCTTTCTAGATTGTGACCTCGCTGCTGATTCCCGGTTCTTGATCATCCCTTTGGGCTTCCTTTCACCAATCTTCTCAATCACACCGGGGGAACCCTCCGTGGTCTAGGACTTTCTGTCTGTTAGAAAAGATAACATTGAGGACCAAACCGCACAACTCAAGAAGATGAGGGACAAAGAAGCACTAACCACAGAAGATGATAAAAACGTAATACCAGAGAAGCACGACTTCACCTTACCAGTTCTTGAAGCTAACGGAATATGGCAGTACAGCCATTGCAACGGATTTAACCACAGCATTACTAACCATCCATGATTCTAGGGATTCTGAATGAAGTGTTCCGTCATTTATAGTGTAGGTTGTATGTATTATATGTATTCATCTTTGTGTATAAATCAGAAGTGAAGTGCTGCTGTAAATATATGAAATATATATTCTGAGGTTTAATCAATTCTACATTTATCGAAAAAGATCAAAGATTTAAGATAGATGGTATCAGAGCAAAAATCCATGGCAAATATATTACCCCCAAACCCAGACGCTAGCTCTACAAATCCAGATACAACAAATCTGAATCTAATGACTCCAGTCCCAGCTCTTGGGAGCAATTTTACCCCCTTTGGGATGAATCTGACTCAATCGGCGTCTGTTAAGCTAGACAAAGATAACTTTCTCATTTGGAAAAATGTTATAATGCCGATTGTAAGAGGCCATGGCCTGGAAGGATATTTGCTGGGGACTAATGAAATACCCCACCAAAC